AAATATAAGGTATATTTAAAATACAGTACATTTGCAAAAGTACAATAAAAACATTGCTTAAAAAAAAAAAAAAGTCACGTTTTTTTTTTCTGTGCCAGTATCAGCCACCAAAAGGACTGCAATCTATCCGAGCATGTAATTATTTTTGCTATTCTGGTTGGTGCTGAAATTGGAAGTTTCCTCTTTCAGAAAGCTTACCTTCAAATCAATCAGTCCATTATTTTTCACAGGTAAGTATGTTACATCAAAACCCTCTGCCTCCATAATTCGGCAGGAGTCCAGCACACACTTGTGTTCGGTCTGGGTGGTAACAATGTGGTTTTTCTTAGCCTTATAAAACCGAGCCACACCCTTTGAAAATGAAAAAAAGACAAGATATAAAAGAACAACCAAAACATATTTAGTTGTTTTTAATGACTAGTGCAGCGCATCCTATATAAACTTCACCTCTTTGTTTATTTTAGAATATGACAAGTCATTTGTGTCCCAGCGTCCCACTTTCTCCTAATCCTAATCTTACCTCACAGTAATGACATTCTTACTTTGATTGACATATTGTTGGACTCAGTCGCACCACTGGTGAACACAATCTCCCTCGGGTCGGCACCAATAAGATCTGCTACTTGCTGAAGAGGAAATACCATTTGTGTTACCATAAACAGTGCATTCCTGGCATAACCAAAATATTATGCTTCAATACTCAGAAATACAACTCTCAGCTATCTAAATCCAGAGAAAATGTTCTTGCTTCTTTAATGAAAATATTCAGGTTAGAATAAAGACTTACCTTTCTCGCTTTTTCCATTGCACTCTCGCTCTCCCATCCATAAGCGTGAGTCCTGGAATGTGGGTTCCCGTAGTAATTGACTTGATAGGGGAGCATGGCATCCAAAACCCTTGGGTCCTGGAACATTGTTCAATGAAAACAATGGCATGTAAACATCCCAGACATGTAATTCAGAAATGTTCACGAGTCTGATTAGTTAATTATTCTAGACGGCAGGAATATAGTTAGGATGACAATGGCAGATGGGTACCATGGGTGTGGTGGCCTGAAAGTCCATATACAGCGGCCTCAGTTCATCCTTTTCCAGTTCCCTACTTTTGATCAACTCTGTGGAGAAACACAGACATGTTTATCAACACTGAAAGTTATAGTGACTGGAATAAATACAGCCATATTAGAAAGCCAAGCATGTATTTACATGTCAGCTTGCTAGTATCTGTATTAGCACAGCCTTCTACAGTAACTTACACAATCTTAATTCAACTGCGTCACTGTTAGTCTCTAGCCTAGAGAATTAGATTTAGTAATGCTGTACCTTTCTGCCTCTGCACAGTGTTGACGGCGCTTTGAGCGAAGCTCAGTCGAGGGTTGGAGACCCCACACATGGAGACCAGAAGTTTTCTCGATAAAGTCCTGTTCATCATGTTTATGCAATTAAGTGTTCTCAACATAAACAACGACAGAAATAATAAAAAAAATAGCTTCTTATAAAGCCTTCGTCAACCAATAAACGCGTCAGATAAATAAATGTATTATTCGGGCAACTTCAGAAACAACAACATGCGCACTAAGTTCATATAACAGCGTGTCAAACGGTGTCGTCAGCCCTCAAAAACACTCGGTAACGCTTACACAAGACCCACACACAGCGAGGGCGGGACGACTGTTATTATAATTCTCATTGGTTATCCGAGTCTCTTGTAGGCGGGTTTTTGTGACGTTTACGGAGTTTATTGGTTGAAACCTAAACCTCGCCCGTTTCTTTTACCGGAAATTGTGAATATGAACCAATACAATGCTGCTCTAAAAGTGAGTTTCTTCGTCCTTGGAAATATAAATATCCAGTACATTTGGAGAAAATCGGCAGCGTTTAATGAAAGACATCTTTAGTTTTAAGTCTTTGGTTTATATATATTCCCACAAATCGTGATGGGAAATCCACATCATTTCCGCCAATCGGTTCTTTTGAAGAGTTCATTTCAAAGAACCTATTCGGTTGCTTGTGTCATTACGCAATTACGTCATCAACGCGCTACTAAAATCATATGAAGCTACATAGTAACGAAAAATCATAATTATAACAAAATGTCGAAATTATGACATTAAAAACAATCATTGCATAAAAATCGAACATATTCCAAGATGAAAAGTCACAATTTGACGTTTTGTCATAATCTCGACTTTTTATGTTATAATTATGACATTTGTGTTTTTTAGGGATCGGCTTCCATAAGTTTTACTTTTCTACTATTGAAATTAATTTTCGCTGTGCAAGGTAGGCAGTTAAGAATATAAACAGAATGGACTTTGTACTTTCTCATTCCTCGAGCTTAGCTTTAAAACAACGTGAGAACATTTAGAAGCAGATCTGTGAAATATTAAAAAAAAAGTCTGGAAAAGTGCGTTTAGAATATTCAGATCGGCTCTAACAGACTTAAAGGTATACAATTCCATATATTAAAATTCGTTATATTTGTATTTATTGAAAATGAATCGTTTGGTGTCTTGAGAGCCTTTAGTAACAGCTGCACTTGCGTGCAGTCATTTTGTTGTTGCCACTACACAGTATGGCTGAACTGTATATAATGAGAACTGTATATATATGATTCAGTTGTTTATGTATAGCCTACTTCCTTAGCACAAAAAATCTTGATTGCTTACATTGGTTTGATTGTTTTTATTTACTGGTGTCACATAACACGTTTACAGGTTCAGAATCCATCCATAGCTTCTCCTGGCATAAATGTCTCCAACTTCAGTGCACCACTTTAGACATCGGTGGTCATTACAGAGATGGAAAGCAGCAACACAGGGATATTTGACTCTGAATAGAACCAAATGCATTGCACACAATCTGCACAGATCCACCAATGATTCTAAACCCCAGAAGAAAATACAATTCCAAAGCAAAACAGATGTCACTCACAGTGCTTGATTGAAGTGGGCCGTTTTTGTGCCAAATTCTGACCCCCGCCAGATTATTACCCCTAGTATTG